TTTCAGTGATATTAACATACCGTATACTTTGTTAAAATAATTGTGTCCATTTATTTCTGTATAAAATTCAGATATGTTTCAGTTTATTTAAATCAGCTCTGCTATATTTACAATATCACTCGAATCTTATTTTTTTTTTCTGTTTGATAAATCGGTAGAACGGTATTTAGTATTTAAATATCCATCATTACGATGTAACATAGTACGTTATTATTCCTAAAATTCGAAATATTAGTTGTAAAAATTAATTTAACTTGACTTGAGTTTGAAATAAAACGCTGCGTACTACATAAATGAATCAGTCGGCTGCGTCTACCGAGGAACGATCGCCTTCGATTGTGACGTCACAAATCGGTGGAGCAGGCCTGTAGATATCTAGTTGGCCTTGACCTCACTCTCTTTTTTCCGCCTCCCACACTCCTTTCCCCCTACTCTTTATCCCCCCACCCGATCCTTATCAGAAGTCGAGTAAAAAGATGTTTCTACATCTTGACACTCGAGAATAAAATATGATCTGTGTGCGTACGTAGAATCTGACAACTTAATGCGCATGCGAGGTTAATGATGCGAATTCAAGTGCAATGTCTTGATTGTCTTGTTTTTCTCCTTGGAGCAGAAAGACCTAGCGAGTGCATTAAAGTTTTATATCTGTTCTCGAAGTTATTTATTTAGTATAGCTATGGGTTTTTTTACGTATTTTTTTGTTATAAGTACATTTATAATTATTTGTGTCGTGTATTTAATATTGTGTAAGTAACTTAATTTTTCAGTACTTTTTAAATTAAGTAATTGAGAAATTAATAGCGTGTATATTAATAATAATAATCCCGTATGTATGTTGGTTTGCAAAGCTCCGTGATTTCCATAATTTGTTTGGATTTTGTTGTTAGTTTTCATATCATAGAATTTAAATTCCGTAATTAACTTTTCGATTATATTTTGGGTAACGAAGACATTTACGAAATTTTTTGGGGATGGGATAGTGTGTGTGGGATATCTACATTTTTAATTCAACACTTCTTTAGAATCTTGCAGTACTGCTTACTTTAAATTAATTAAGGAAGGCTATCATTTTGCAGTTATCAGCTGCTGTATCTAATTATTTAGAATATGTTTCTTAATTAAGCATTTAGGAAAGGCTAAAAAATTATTAGATAATAAAAAAAAATCAATACTAAAAAAGCGAATACTTGCTGACTTTAGTACCATAATACAAATTCATCACTACTGCAACCATGACATCGTTGACTCTTAGGAATGTCTGTAAACTATACTTTTAAGAATGGAGGGTTCCTCCCCCCTTCCTCTCAGAATTTATATTTCAATCACTGGTGTATGGGATCTACCAAACAAGGAAAAATACATTTCAATGTCCCCCTTGAGAATTGGCTATTATTTTGCCGCCATTTCTGTTCACGTGCAAAGCCCTTCCAAGTAAATTGGTGTCCGAAACATAATGGAGTAAGACATAATTAAAACTTTAAAAAATTATTATCTCAATAAACTGCCTTTTAAATTAAAATAAAGCAAGAAAAGAGCATAAAAATAGAAATACATGCTATCTAATCTGCACAGTACAAAAATAAAATATCTACTTTCCTTATTTAGAAATTTCTGTGATTCAGTGTACAATTACTTAGCAGCATTCAAAAACAGTTTTAAAATTATCTGAACTAGAATCTGTATACTGCCATCACCGCGTAAATTCACATAAAAGTAAGAATAAAAAATATCCTGTATAGTGATGGACAGTCGGTGGCATTTCTTTTAAAATTCCCTTTTTATTACACCCCATATACTTTGCCATATACTTTGATAGGCATTAATAGGTTCTCTGGTTTATGAATCTTTAAATGTCACTGTGAAATTTACTGAGAGGGGAACAAAATCAATATCAGAAAGACGATTGTATGACTTCCAACAGTCAGATATGATTGTTGTTCCAGGTAAGATATTCCATTGAATTACAATTAAACCTTCTTTTACGCACCAATCAGTCAATGCTTTATTTTCCATTCCCACAGAAACTTCAGTTTAATCGTACCACCGGCAGCCATTTTAAGGTGTAAAGCACAAAATAAGCTGCATATTTCCTAACTGACATCCAACGCAGAAATAAGCTCCGAAAATATTCTCCCAGCAATCAAATTCACCATGATCATGCACTATGACCAACCATGTCATGATAGGGTTTCCAAGTACAAGAGATTTGTTGTCAAAATTTTATTTTAGATATGTTGTCAAGTAACCTTGTTCCACTGTGCAAGAAATAAAATTTTGTGCGAGTCGATCAAAGAGGGCATGGCAATGTTTAAAAGATATGAAATTGGTGGGAATGAAATCAATTGCCATTTATTATTGCAACCAGATTTATTTATTACTGGTCTAAGAAAACTACATCAGTAAAATTTTGCATGGAAGAATCAAACATAGCTGATATTACTGTTTTTATAGACTGGAACAGTGATTTGAGAGAAAAATGTATGTATGAGTTGCAGAGTAATGAAAATTTGAAAAAAAAAAAAAAAAAAGTGGTGAAGGCTTAATTATAGAAACTCATGAAAGCTGGTTTTCAAAAATAAAAAATAACATTGGCTGCCTTTTGCCACTGTAATGGATTTTTGATGGCATTTGCCTAGAATGTAAAGAGACTTTTCTTGTTATACAGTCCGACCAAAAGGCCACAAATGAAACAGTTGCCAAATATTTACATTTAAAGTGCTAGGATAAATTTAACCCATTTCTAGTAAATACATTTCTGAAGCAATGATTTCAGTTTTGAAACTATATTTATGTGTAGTGAAAAAATTATTTCATGATACTTCATGCTTTGTTCAATATCTTGCTTGTTTACTGTAAAAAAAGCTTTCTAGAAGAAAATATACAAATTAATGTCTGTTAAAAATTATGTCTTATTATTTTGCATTATTGTTATTAAGTTTATAAATTAAAAAGTATTTTAAATAGTTTATATTTATGACATAGTTATTCTGTTTCATTTATCATTGTTGTAATGTTATATAGTCAAAAGTTGTTAATTCGGACACCCATAATCTGGAATGATCTATAATCTGAACCTCAAAGCTAAAATCTTTCTGAGCATGCGCATAGGCGTTTTACGCGTGCGCGCAAGACATTTACGACTGCGCATATGCGTTTGTGCAAGCGCAGAATACGTTTTCGCGTGCGCGTTTGATGTATAACGGACGGTATAAGCTCTAATTATCTATTTCAGTTAATGTTGATGATTGCATTCTTCCTTAATCTTCGAATTGGATCCGCCTTATTATTTTTTGCAGACTGTAAGAGCAATTTTATAAAAGTAAGCTTGAACTTTCGATTATGTCAAATAGAATTTCCGATGCTGGAGCTCCCAAAGGATCTAGAAAACGAAAGTATGTTTCGATGTCCATCAAACAAAACACGAATTGCTACAAAAAATGGATAAAGTCATATCCTTTGTTTATCTAACCGTTCCGAAATCTGTTTATCAATTTCACGCTGCTCTGCGCGCGGGGGGGGGGGACGTCGCTGCACGCAATGAACTGGAAGTTGATCTGTCAGCACTATCGTTATCTTCAGGGCAGATGTTTTTATTTTATTTGGCTTATAATTCCTTGCTAAATGCAGTATTTAATCTCGATGTACTCCGTCTTTGATATGATTTAAATCAAATTCCTCGTCATTATAAATATCACGAATACAAATCAAATAGTTTTCTGGTTGCAATTTTCTAATTTCGGCTATGCGTAAGTTATGCTTCACGCATGCGCGCGTTGAAAGAAATGTTTAATAAAGTAAACAAATAAATATTAACTTCTTTTCTTGTAAATTTTGATACCCTTTAGATCATAATTGCTCATTATTTTATAAATTACGGTTTCATATTTTTAGTTTTATAATTTCTGCATGCCATCTTACCAGATTTAAACTGATGATCTATAATCCGGAATACCTTGCCGACGAGTCCAGATTAAAGACTTTTGACTGTATTATTTTCTGTCATTCCGTAATGTAATTATGACCTATTCAAATGATGTAGTGTATGTAGAAGCAAAATTAAAGATGGGGAACAGATGTCTTATTTTCGGATGCACATAGAATGATACAATTTAAATTTAAGTTATTTAACTGAAATAAAATCATGGGCATATTTGAATTTCAACTGATGTTTTTCAAAAGGAAATGGTGCCGTTTTCCTTCACCTGTATCACAGTTTCCATTTACGAGGTGTATTCGGAAACTAAGTACCGTTTTGAAAAAAAAAATAGTAAAACAATTTTTTCGAATCCAATTTTATTTTTACATAAAAATACATGTCTTAAACTATTTTTCAACATAGTTTCCGCCAATGATCAAACACTTGTCATAGCGGCTGACCAGTTTTTGTATACCATCGTCAAAGAAACTTCCCGCCAGTTTCGATAACCACGACTACACAGCATTTTTTGTGTCATCGTCAGATCCAAAGTGCTTGCCACCAAGCTCGTGCTTCATGTGCAGGAGCAAGTGATAGTCGGACGGCGTCAAGTCCGGGCTGTACGGCAGGTGATCGAACTGCTCCCAATGAAACTGTCGAATTAACGATTGAGTGACACCAGCAGTATGGGGCCGAGCATTGTCATGGAGCAACACAATTCCTTTACTGAGCATTTCTCTTCGTTTGTTTTGAATGGCACGCCTTAGTTTTGTTAAAGTCTCACAATATCATGCCACATTAATGGTTTCACCTCTGGGAAGAAATTCAGTAAGCAAAATGCCTTTCCTATCCCAGAAGACAGTGCACATGATTTTTTGTGATACATTCTTACCCACTTTCTCACCATTCCATCACTTATCGCGTATTCACCATAAACTTCTGTCACTTGACGATAAATTTCGTCCGGTTTAACATTCCTCGCGTTCAAAAATTTAATCATGGCACAAATCTCGCAGTCAGCGGGAGAACTAATTGTCTTAAACATTTTGAATGTGCACAGCAAACTGAAAACACAACATAGAGCAACCAAAATGACGACAATTGAAAGTCAGTGAACAAGAAAGACTAGTGCGCATGCGTGGGATGCCTACCACAGCGCTGCGACGTCACTAGAATGAAACGGTACTTAGTTTCCGAATACGCTACGTATATGTATTTCTGCTGAATAACTAGTAAGAATCTTTAGGAGCAAAAGTAATTTTTTCTTTCTTTCAAAATTATTTTTCTTAAGAAGAGAACTCTGTGTATGATTGCCATTGCAACTGTTAAAGTTTTATTCAAAATCTATGTCAAACTATGCCTTTCTTTTCTTTTTAGACTAATTTTAAATTTGACACTGGTGTCTTTCTTTCCAGTTTAAAAATGTCAGTATTTTGAAAGTTTTGTTATACAGTACAAAGTCTTTAATCCGGACTCTTCGGAGATTCCGGATTATAGATCAACAATTTAAATCGGCTAATCTTTGGAATATGGTAACAGGTAGTTTGGCGACATTTTGGTAAGGCGATGACTTTAGCAGCTGGGACTTTAGCAGTGTACATGGATACAGTCAAGAGTGCGCACAATGCCATTTTTGTGCAATTCTGGGATTTTTTTTAAGTGAAAATAGGTCGACGTGTACATGGTTATCGTATATGTGCAATTCTTAAAAATGCGGCAAGCAGTTTGCGATTCTGCACTTTCTCCCAATTTTGCACCTAATCTTCGTCATGATTAAGCACTTTTGTTCCATGAAAGTTCTAGCATAAGCGTAATTTGGCTAGCAGATTT